CAGGCTGAAGCTGAGTTCTAGAAGCCTTCTTTAGACGAATCATGCATTCCCCAGTTCACCACATCCCTAAAACCTCTAAGAATTTGAATTTGTGAGCCTGGGTTAAGGATGCTAAAGTCAATGAAGTCATTTTGATTGTTTTGGGCTCACAAGTCAGTAAGGCAGGAATTCTCTTTATCTATACTCTCCCCCTCCTCTAAGTGATACCCACAGCAGACATACTGATACTTCTGCCTAGGAAGCTACCCTAGTAACTTTGCAGCTTGTTTTTCCAGAGGAGTTGGAGGTGTCGGTCACATCTGTTCCCAAACCTGATTATGTCAGTTGTAGTTATTACTCTAATTATATATATATAATTTTTCTGCAAACCAATTAAATGAGTGTGAAAAGAGAACAGCTTCTATGAAAACTAACTTAATACTTAGGAAGACTCAGATAAACTATCACCAAAAAATGCTCAACAATTTGGTAGGCAAAATAATCATAAAAGATTGGAACTAGATTATATCACAAGGTTTCAGACCACTTCAAAGAAATGAAACTAAAGTTGGTAGAGGATGTGTTATAGTTATGGCTTAGTGGTTAATGCAATAAATACACAGTGTTCCAATCATTAGACACACTCTTAAAGCAAAGGTCCTGCTCATGTATCAGAAAGATTTGCAAATTAACGTATGTTTAAATTGACATTAAAATAAAATGTTTGAAGTGTAAGTTTTTTTACCCCTCCCCAAATAAAAAACCAACTACCAGGCTGAAAGCTTTTTAATATAATGATGTGGCCAAGTTAAACTGCAAGATTCAACAAGCAGCAAGAGGTGGCTCTGCTCCAAATCAAAACTGAGAAAATGTATCTATAACCTTCCCCCTCCCCACAAAATGGAACAAGTTCATCAACCCTTCTCTTCCGTATAAATGGCCAAAAGCCAGGGTGAGGCAAGGAAACAGAAGAGAGGAAAATAAAAACAGATGCAACCTATCCTGCTTTTAGTAGCACAAGGTCACTGGATACCATCCAATTATAATGATAAACCAAGTATTTCTTTTTCTTTACCATTAATAATTGACCAAATTTAATTTGTTACAATAGTACATTTAGACAGCTAATTAGACAATTTATGTAAGTATTCCACCCTCAGAAGTGGAGCACAACTCCCCATTTTCAAGCTTTGGCTACACATACTAACTTCCTTCCATTAAGTGTCAGTTATGCATAGTGACTAAACTAAATGGAGCACACTAGAAACACAAGGGAGCAAACTAGAAAGACAAGACATTCAAACTTACCAGGTCCCACTGGCATCATCCCAGGAGGAGGAGGGCCCATCATTGGCATCATGGGAGGGCCCCCCATATGGGGTGCTGGCATCATACCAGGGCGAGGAGGACCCGCTGAAATAAAGAATGGAGCCTGTGGTTAAGGTGTGCTCACATATTAACATTTTCTCTTCTCTATTTTTTTTTTTTTTTTTTTGAGACGGGAGTTTCATTCTTGTTGCCCAGGCCAGAGTGCGATGACACGATCTCGGCTCACCGCAACCTCCACCTCCCAGGTTCAAGCGATTCTCCTGCCTCGGCCTCCCGAGTAGTCGAGATTACAGGCATGTGCCACCGTGCCCAGCTAACTTTGTATTTTTAGTAGAGACAGAGTTTCTCCGTGTTGGTCAGGATGGTCCCGAACTCCCAACCTCAGGTGATCTGCCCACCTCAACCTCCCAAAATGCTAGGATTATAGGCATTAGCCACTGCCCCTGGCAACATTTTCTCTTCTTAATCAAACTAAAAGGATCTCATGAACTCCTTCGAATTCTGAAACAATATCCCTCTTATGGTTTCTTTTTATAATAGCAGATCCACAAAAATCACATGCCATAAAACATTAATAAAAAGCAAGAACAAGTCTGCCTAGACAGAAGAATAAAATAAAGTCAGATTCCCTAGGTTAAGAAAAATTGAGATTTTGATTTAAAAAAACAAAACAAGGGGGTGGAGAGGTTGTACCTTCTATAGGGCTCGTGACAAAAAGCTGATGGACTTAAGCCACAAGCATTTAATTTCAGATCCCTTTGTAAAAAATGAAAACATGGTTTTAAAAGATTCTTTGGAAATACAAAGACTTATATACAGGGATATTCCTGACAGTATCATTTACAATACCTAAAATTTGGAACAACTTAAATATCCAATAAGAAAATAGTGAGGCAGGCTGGGGATGGTGGCTTAAGCCTGTAATCCCAGCACTTTGGGAGGCCGAGGCGGGCAGATCACAGGAGGTCAGGAGGTCAGGAGTTCAGGACCAGCCTGGCCAACATGGCAAAACCCCATCTCTACTAAAAATACAAAATTAGCTGGGCATGGTGGCATGCCCCTGCAATCCCAGTTACTTGGGAGGCTAAGGCAGGAGAATCACTTGAATCCAGGGAACCCAGGAGGCGGAGGTTGCAGTGAGCTGAGATCACGCCACTGCACTCTAGCCTGGGCGACACAGCAAGACTCTATCTCAAAAAAAAAGAAAGAAAGAAAGAAAATAGTGAGGTAAATTATGGTAAATTCATACCATAGACTATTCTGCTATCAAAAATAATGGAGTTGAGTGCTAGCCAGTCAAGGTAGAAAAGGAGAGAGAAGTAACCTTGGAGTTGCTATGGGCTGAGGCCTGACCAGGTCCTAGGATGGCAGGTGCCCAGAAAAGGTTTGGCAGGACATTAGTGGTCCACCTACATTAGTGTGCAACTATTACAAACAGCCTACTTCTCTGAGTCTATACTTGTGATTGTGTGCAAGATTGAGTCTAGGTCCTGTATGTGATTTCATTCTGACTGCTCCCAGAAGAGCCACAGTACAGTATGATCCAGTGCAGCACTCAGTCTCCTCTTGTCTGTCACACAGAAACAACAAACCTTCCCAGAAAGCTGGGCCCATGATCCACTCTCCTTTCAATGATCTCATTCTTACCTTTCTTTTTTTTTCTTTGAGACACAGTCTTGCTGTGTTGCCCAGGCTGGAGTGCAGTGGGGTAATCTCAGCTCAATGCAACCTCCACCACCCAGGTTCAAGCAACTCTCCTGCCTCAGCCTTCTGAGTAGCTAGGACTACAGACGTGCACCACCACGCCTGGCTAATTTTTGTATTTTTAGTAGGGATGGGGTTTCATGATGTTGGCCAGGCTGGTCTTGAACTCCTGACCTCTGGTGATCCACCTGCCTCAGCCTTCCAAAGTGTTGGGATTACAGGTGTGAACCACCACGCCCAGCCTAATTCTTATGTTTCTAAGACATAGATTTTGGTATTAGGTGGGTTAGAAAATAGGGCAAAAGACTAAGGAGTTTATCAGCTATTTCAGTCCTCTAGTGCTGTGCTCATAGAGTAAATAATTTAATGTACCTAGCAACTCCTATTCATGTATTAGCTCATCTAATCAGAGGTTCATTCTGAGCTTTCTTTCCATTTAAATCTCTCTTAGATCCACACTTGGGATGCCACAAACACAGTACTTAGTGACAATGCAATCAAAAGTTAACTCCGAAGTTATTTTAGAAATTATGCCACTAAAGTTGTTTTCTATTACTACACACATCTATATTCAACATTTATGTATTTATACATTTATATTACTATCTACATACAAATGCAACAGTATTTGAAAGCCAACGGTGAGATAATGTAACCTAATCAAAGGACAGCCTGCCCCATCACACCCCTTAAGATTAAAACTTTAAACTTACGAAGGCTGGGGGGAGGTGGTATCATCGCCCCTGCAGGAGGAGGAGCAGAGAATGGAGTAGGAGGTATCTTTCCTTGTTGAAATGCAGCCGCTTCGGAGATGAGGGTGAGAAAAGAAAAAAGATGAATAAGAGTTCAACAACCCAGTAACTAAAATAACCACTTTCTTTTAAGTCTTTGATGGTTCCAATTACTTTACTCTTGCTAGCTGTCCTCTAAAATTATTACATCATGGTTCTACAGTTTAAAAATCATTTTTAGGTATTCACCGGCTAAAATTGCAATTAATTGGTTTATTGATTCATGTTTTCTAATTAGCATTTCTTTTTTTTTTTTTGAGACGGAGTCTCGCTCTGTAGCCCAGGCTGGAGTGCAGTGGCTGGATCTCAGCTCACTGCAAGCTCCGCCTCCCGGGCTTATGCCATTCTCCTGCCTCAGCCTCCCCAGTAGCTGGGACTACAGGCGCCCGCCACGTTTTTTGTATTTTTTAGTAGAGACGGGGTTTCACCGTGTTAGCCAGGATGGTCTCGATCTCCTGACCTCGTGATCCGCACATCTTGGCCTCCCAAAGTGCTGGGATTACAGGCTTGAGCCACCGTGCCCGGCCTCTACTTAGCATTTCTATGGCTAAATTAAATATGGGAGACTGGAGTAAAAATTTCCTGCCTATCAATGTCTTTTCTTTTTGAGACAGAGTCTCACTGTCACCCATGCTGTAGTGCAGGGACACAATCGCAGCTCACAGCAGCATCGACCTCCCGGGCTCAGGTGATCCTCTCACTTCATCATCCCGAATAGCTACAGGTGCTTGGCACTATGCCTGGCTAACTTTTGTATTTTTTGTAGAGACTGGGTTTCACCAAATTGCCCAGGCTGGTCTCAAACTCCTGAGTTCATGCAATCCACTCATCTCAGCTTACCAGAGTGCCAGGATTATAGGCATGAGCCACCACGCCTGGCCCTATCAATGTCTTTTACCAAAGAGGAAGAGTCATCTTTAATCTGTAGATATAGTTTATAACCAATTCAAGCCATTCATAGTTTTGTTTGAAAAAGTGTAATACATGCCCAAAAAGCTAGGCTTTATAAAATTTCTATCCTTCCTATGTATGCTGTCCTAGGTCAAAATAATACACTATGTTGGTTTACCAGTTTGGAAATCAATGCACTAACCTAGGATTTTCAAAACATACAAAGATTTCAAACTATAAGCCTGCCCCAAAAGAGTTATGATTTTTAAGAAAATCTAATACAATCAATTTAATTTTTTTTTTCAGATGAAGCATAAGAGAAAACAAGAGAAACTGAAGATCATCTATATTTGGTTTTAGCAAAGAATCACAAATAAATATTAAAATACACACTCATAAAGTCTATTCCTGACATAAGCTGTCTATAGCCCATCCCACTCCACTCCAATGCAAAGGAAATCAAATTACTCATCAATTACTGGTAATTCATGGGATCAGATCAAAAAAGTGACCTAAGTGGAGATTTATGAATAGCTTATTATCCATATGCCTCTGAACAAAGCCTGTGCGATCTCAGGGATTATATCCCAATATGGACTTTTTCAATCAAAAAGGCCTCTCTCACATCTTTTGTAGGAGGACAGCTTGTAAAGCCTGAAGTGGGGGAAGCAAAGTCACTGACTTAGTAGCAGGCTCTATATCAACATAATCACGGATTTCATGAGTGTGTCCCTGAGGGGGTCCCCTACTCTTCTCAAAAAGTCCCCCACTAAAAATGTTTATTATTCTGACTAGCCTTAAAACAAAAACAAAAACATGTACTCAAGCCGAGTGCAGCGGCTCCTGCCTATAATCCTAGCACTTTGGGAGGCTGAGGCAGGAGGATCTCTTGAGTTCCAGAGTTAAAGACTAGCTTGAGCAACATAGTGAGACCCCGTCTCTACAAAAACTAAAGATTAGCTGGGAATGGTGGTGTGCACCTGTAGTCCCAGCTACCTGGGAGGCTGAGGCAGGAGGAATGCTTGAGCCCAGGAGTTCAAGGCTACAGTGAGCTATGATTGGGCGACTGCACTCCAGCCTGGCTGACAGAGTAAGACCCTATCTCTACAAAAGTTAAAATTTAAATTAAAAAAATGTTTATTCATCCTAAATTATTTTGCTGCCTATGGAAAGTAACTACAGAATATACTGTAAATCTTTTAATGCTAAGAAATTTCTAACATCTTTTCAAGTAAGGGGAAAAGATTACATCATGGTTTATTTTTTCATATGAAATGGGACAATGAGGCAGGTGTGGTGGCTTATGCCTATAATCCCAACACTTTTGGAGGCCCAGGCAGGAGGATTGCTTGAGGCCAGGAGTTCAAGACCGGCCTGAGCAACAAAGTGAGACACCATCTCTATACAAAATTTTACAAAATTAACCTAGCATAGTGGTGTGCACCTGTAGTCCTAGCTACTCAGGAGGCCAAGACCAGAGGATCACCTGAGCCCAGAAATTTGAGGCTGCAGTGAGCTTTGATTATACCACAGCACTCCAGTCTGGGCAACAGAGTGAGACTCAGTTTTTTTTGTTTTTTTTTGTTTTTTTTTTGAGACGGAGTCTCGCTTTGTCGCCCAGGCTGGAGTGCAGTGGCCGGATCTCAGCTCACTGCAAGCTCCGCCTCCCGGGTTTACGCCATTCTCCTGCCTCAGCCTCCCGAGTAGCTGGGACTACAGGCGCCCACCACCTCGCCCGGCTAGTTTTTTTTTTTTTGTATTTTTAGTAGAGACGGGGTTTCACCATATTAGCCAGGATGGTCTCGATCTCCTGACCTCGTGATCCGCCCGTCTCGGCCTCCCAAAGTGCTGGGATTACAGGCTTGAGCCACCGCGCCCGGCCGAGACTCAGTTTTTTTAAAAAAATCGGGACTGGGCATGGTAGCTCACGCCTGTAATCCCACCACTTTGGGAGGCCAAAGCAGGTCAATACTTGATGTCAGGAGTTCAAGACCAGCCTGGCCAACATGGTGAAACCCCATTTCTACCAAAACCAAAAAAAATTAGCCAGGTGTGGTGGTGTGCGCCTGCAGTCCTAGCTACTCGGGAGGCTGAGGCAGGAGACTCACTTGAACCCAGGAAGCAGAGGTTGCAGTGAGCTGAGATCGTTCTGGCCTGGGCAACAGAGCAAGACTCAATCTCAAAAAAATAAATAAATAAATAAATAAATAAAATCAATTTTAAAAACTGGGACAATGTCTGAGGTTTGCTCCATAATAATCCAGGAAGGAGAAGGAGTAGGTGACAACATTCAGTGGCTCTCTTGGCCAGAAACAATTTTGCCTTCCAGGGACACTGCACAATGCCTGGAGATATTTTTAGTAGTCACAACTGGAGATTGGTACTGGCATCTAGTTAGCAGATGCCAGGCATGCTGTCAAAAATCCTGCAACGCACAGAAAGATCCCCACAGCAAAAGATTATCCAGCCTTAAATGACAACAGTATCAAGGTTGAGAAACCCAGAATAAATGCAACAAGAGTGCTACAGCTGAGTGATGAGAAATGAAGGGTGAGGAAATTCAGAATGGGAGGTTCATTAAGCTTGTCGATTTTTTTTTTTTTTCAGACAGAGTCTCGCTCTATCGCCCAGGCCGGAATGCAGTGGTGAGACCTTGGCTCACTGCAACCTCCGCCTCCTGGGTCCAAGCGATTCATCTGCCTAAACCTCCCCAAGTAGCTGGGATTACAGGCATGCGCCACCACACCCAGCTAATTTTGTATTTTTCGTAGAGACAGGGTTTCTCCACGTTGGTCAGGCTGGTCTCTAACTCCTGATCTCAGGTGATCCACCCACCTCAGCCTCCCAAAGTGCTGGGATTACAGGCGTGAGCCACCACACCCAGCACCCGCTTGTCTATTTTATTTGAAAATTTTCACAAGTTTTACCTTTTTATTATTTATTAATTATTACTATTTTTTTGAGACAGAGTCTCACTCTGTCACCCAGACTGGAGTGCAGTTCAGTGGCGCAATCATAGCTTGCTGCAACCTCCGCTTCCTGGGTTTGAGCAATTCTCCTGCCTCAGTCTCCCAAGCAGCTGGGGCTACAAGCAGGCCCCACCATGCCCATCTGAATTTTTTGTATTTTTAGTAGAGATGGGGTTTCGCCATGTTGGCCAGGCTGGTCTCAAACTCCTGACCTCAGATGATCCACCACCTCCTCCTCCCAAAGTGCTGGGATTACAGGCGTAAGCCAGTGTGCCCGGCCAGTTTTTGCCTTTTTATTACTTTTTAATTTGAAAAAAACTTTTTGGCCGGGATTACCGGCGTGAGCCACCACGCCTGGGCTAATTTTTATATTTTTAGTAGAGATGGGGTTTCACCATGTCAGCCAGGATGGTCTCCAACTCCTGGCCTCAAGTGATCTGCCCGCCTTGGCCTCCCAAAATGCTGGGATTACAGGCAATTAGCCGCTGCACCTGCCCTACTGCTTTTTTAAAAAGTCACATCACAAAACCCACATTTGCTTGCCAGCTTGGAGTACAACGAATGATTAAGAAAGGCTGTGATTCAAATACACCAGGATGATCTAAACTAAAAATGCAACATCACCTTCAGTTAGTGTCCTGGACCCAATAAGCCAGAACAAAATGTTCCTAACAATAAGAGCATGGGATGTACAACAGGGGTCCGAAACATATTCAGACTATTTTGTTACATCAAGTAGTTTCTTTTTGACTAGTAGTCTGTCAGGACTACAAATAAAACATCTAAATATAGTCTCAAACTACTTGGGGAAAACCACAAACCCACTCCTGATCTGCTCCTATTAGAATAGGAACACACTTCTAAAACCTGTGGATTAACTACAAAGGGGCTTTATAGAAATTTGCTATAAAATATGGTGTTAATACATAAATATTAAGCAACTCCATTCTTCTCTGCCTCACTTCCCCATCTAACCTTATTGCTGTCTCTGATTGCTCTATCCTCAATAATAAATATTAATGTGTTCTTATATCCTTGGGAAACCAATGACCTTCCACTTCTTTCATTCAACATATCCAAATGCTCCTATTTATCATTCAGAATGAGTTGCCTCTGTGAAAAACACCAGAGACAGGGACAAGAAAGAATAGGACCATTTTACCACATCAGAACAAGAGACTGAAGCATACTTGTTTTGTCAATCAGGCTCTGAGCCTGCTCTTCCATCCATTTCTGATAATAGTCTTTCACATTCTCTTTGTGTTTCCTTCCACTGCAGTGTGTCTTTCTCACAGATGGCTGTAAAATAAAAAGATCATATCAGACATAGAAACAAATGTCCAACACTAAAAATTTAATAAAGTTTTGCCTTTATATAAGTAACGTGTCTAGTATCAGCAGCATTAGCTGGCTGCTACAGTATTACTTAAAAACATTATCCAGCAACATACTGTGGTAATTTTTTTACTATATTATCTAGACCAGAGGTCAGCAAACTATGCCCCATTGGCCAGCCACTGGCTTTTGTGTTTAAAAAAAAAAAAAAAAAGTATTGGAACACAACCACATTTATCTCTATCTACCTTTTTTTTTTTTTGAACAGGGTCCTGCTCTGTTGCCCAGGATGGAATGCAATAGCACGATCTCAGCTCACTGCTGCCTCAACCATCCGGGCTCAAGCAATCATCCCACCTCAGCCTCCTGAGTTGCTGGGACTAGAGACACGAGCCACTATGACCAGCCAACTTTTAAATTTTTTGTAGAGATGACGTCTCACAATGTTGCCCAGGCTGGTCTCAAACCCCTAGGCTCAAGTGATCCTCTCACCTTGGCCTTCCAAAGTGCTGTGATATTACAGGTGTGAGCCACAGAGCCCAGCACATTTATTTATATATTGGCTACACCTTCTCTCTACAAGGGAAAGTTGAGTAACTGCAGCAAAGGTGGTGGTCCCAGCTGCTTGGGAAGCTACGATGGGAAGGACGTTTGAGCGTAGGAGATCAAGGCTACAGTGAGCCAAGATCACTCCACTATATTCCAGCCTGGGTGACAAAGCAAAATCCTATCTCAAAAAAAAAAAAAATTGTTCCTGGCTGGGCACAGTGGCTCCAGCCTATAATCCCAGCACTTTGGGAGGCCGACGCGGGTGGATCACGAGGTAAGATTGAGACCATCCTGGCTAACATGGTGAAACCCCGTTTCTACTACAAATACAAAAAATTAGCCAGGCATGGTGGCAGGTGCCTGTAGTCCCAGCTACTCAGGAGGCTGAGGCAGGAGAATGGCATGAACCCAGGAGGCAGAGCGTGTAGTGAGTCAAGATTGTGCCATTGCACTCCAACCTGGGAGACACAGAGAGACTCTGTCTCAAAAAAAAAAAAAAAAAATTGTTCCTTGTCCTCCCAACCACTGCTTACATTAACACAACAATG